CGGGGGCGGGGCCGGGAGCACGCCGGGGAACGCAAGGCTGCGGGGGCGTCGGGTGGGCAGGAGGGGATGGGGGAGAACTCGGACCTGGGGGAACGGGGAACTGAGGGGAACGCGGGGCAGGGGGAACGCTGAGCGCAGGGGACGCGGGCAGGGGGAACGCTGAGCGCTGGGGACGCGGGGCTGGGGGAACGCTGAGCTCAGGGGACGCGGGGCTGGGGGAACACTGAGTGGAGGGGTACGCGATGCTGCGGGGGGTAAGAGGGGCAGGGGGAACGCAGAGCGCAGGGGACGCGGGGCTAGGGAACCACCAGGCTAAGGCGACTCGCACCTGGGGGGTGGGGGATGTGCGTGAAGCCGGGAGGGAACGCAGGGACGAAAGAAACGGGGGACAGGGGACTGACGCAGAGCTGAAAGGAATGCGGCGGCGGCGGGGGTGGGGGTGGGGGAACGTCGAGCTGAAGGGACCCGAGGGCGGGGGAAGGGTGGACGGATACGGGGTGGGTGGGGGGGACATAGTGCTAAAGGACCCCTGGCCAGGGCAAAGGCCTGAGCGGCGAGGTTGGGCCGGTAGGGAGCAGGCGCGGACTTGACTCGGCTGAGAGGGAAGCGGGGTTAGGGGTAGAGGGAAAGGGCGAAGAGGGAGCCAACAGGAAAGGGGGGTGAAACCGCGTCCAGTATGGAAATTTGTCCAACTAAAACCCGAGGTCTGACTGAGGAGGGGTGTGTGTGTGTGTGAAAAGATCTAAAGTGAAAGCCCAGAATACGAGCAGGTATTAAGATGGGAGAGGAGACCTAGGGGACAGCCCGAGGCTCAGGGAAGCCGCTAACTTCATGATGCGGGGTGCTGACTATCGGATCTACCCTGCTGAAGGAGCTGGGGATCATGACGGAGGTGGAGTGCCGCCTTGGCAACATTCCCGAGGGAGGGTGCTGGAGAGCCTGGAGTGGGGAAGTCGGGGGGGGGGGGGAACACCTGGGAAGGTGAAGTTAGAGTCAAAGCTTAGCCACACTGTTGGCCGAGGCACCCCCATCTTTCTGAAGCCCCCTGAGATTCTCTGCAAGTCCTGACACCCTCGGATCCTGGTCCTTTCCTGATCAGTCCAATTTCTTTAACTTGGAGCCAGGAAAAAAAAAAAGAGAGAAGTGGGGGGGTGTGGGTTAGTAGTTGCTTTGGTTCTGGCAGTTAACTGGCCTTGGGTTTTCTCATCTGGGCTCTCATTGTAGTCCCAGGTAGTGCCCTGTCACCACCCCCACTCTCAGGGTCGCTCAAGTCCCTTTTCCTGTTCTCAGCCTGGACTTTTCTCAAATTTCAATCTCCCGATTTCCTTTCCATTTGAGTCACCACATGGTTCTTTTAATGTGGAGCCGGGGAAGGAAAAATTGTGGGTTTAGAAGTTGCTCTTCCATGCTTTGTGAGTCCGAAACCTTGCTTCTGCCTTCTTCCATTGTAAGCTTCTCTTTCACTTACCTTTTAGTCCGGGCACACGACTGTCATCTATGACCCATTTCTCCTCGGTCTCCTGGAATAACCCGCCGTTTACCAGTTGTCTGTTTGAGGACCACAACCACCACCACCCACACATCCATCCATCTTGTTTTTTTACTGCCTGTCCCTCTCATCCTGTTTTTTTTTTCCTTTGTCCCTGATGTCCTTCCCATCTCCTTAGATCCCAGTTCTACTCTCCAGACTCATTTTCCACTACTCTTCCAATTCTCTTTAACCTGTCTTGTTTCCTCCAGCTCTACCATTTCCTTCTCATTCTTGTGCATGAGAACACACGTCCTTGTGGAGGCCAAAGGTACTGTTCCCAGTTGCTTATTTTATTACGTGTTTGTGTGGTGTTTTTCCTGCCTGGGTCTGCACGTGCGTGCCTGGTGTCCAAGGAGACCAGAAGAGGACATTGGATTCCCTGGAACTGATCGACACACGTTGTGAGCTGTGATGTGGGTACGGGGAATTGAACCCAGAGCCTCTCAAAGAGCAGCCGGTTCTCAGTAAACTAAGCCATCTCTCCAGCCCCCTCTCCATTCAAATGTCTGTTTCTTGGTGTCTTTAGGTTCTCATTTTTTAATGTTTTTGTTGTTTTTATTTTGAGGTGCTGGAGACTGAACCCAGGACACCTCCCCCATGTAAACATTCTGTCAGCGAGCCACACCCTTTCCCGTACTTAGCATTCACTGTGTACAAGTCATGGAAAGTAAAGTGGGAAGAACGACCAAAATGAAACAACCTTTCCTGGCTCTTTGCCAGGTCATTTTTGTTCTTACTTGGTTTTCCTTTATTTTGTGTTTGTATGCAGCTAGGTGAGGGAAGCCATGGTGCATGGGGACATCAGAGGACAACTTCTGGGACCAGGTGTTCTCCTACCTGTGGCTCTGAGACTGAATATAGGTCTGTCAGGCTTACAAGTAAATGCCTTTATGAGTTGAGCCCTGGTTGACTTTTTCTTTTTTTCTTTTCTTTTTTTTTTTTTGAGACAAAGTCTCTTTCTGTAGCCCGAACTGGACACAAGCTCATAGCAAACCTGCCTCAGCTTCCCAAGTGCGGGGATTACAGGCACAACTAACCCCCAATCCTTTACTTGTCAGGTGTAAATCAAGATCACTGAAGTATCTGTTAAAAAAATAACTTTATTCCAAAATCCTTTAAAATTCATGACCTTAAAACTGATTTCTTTTCAGATTTCCCCTATCGAATGTTAAGATCAACACACAAAGCCACCTGCAGTTTGTTTTTTTTTTCAGCTGGCAAGTCCTGTGTTGAGAGATTTGATTGGCACTTAGAGTACAAAGTTGTACCCACCAAGGATGACGGTTTCATGCTCCTACAACTGTGAGGAGTGAAGCTAATGCTGAAGCATAGGGCTGCAGAGCCCTCTGCACGTCTGCTAGGGTTGAGGGCGATCAGTGTGATTTCAACAACCCTGAAGGGGTGTTCTTCCTGGTTCAAATAGATCTCCTGAGTTAACTGATACTTGCAGATACGTTTGTTTGGTTGGTTTTTAAGGTCAATGCACAAAATGGACTTCCCCATACAAAGTCTGTAACCCATTGTCTATATGCCTTGAGATCTGGGTCTGGATTGTGTTAAGGAAGAAGGGGGTGAGGGCTCCAATTTTTCACACATCCTTCAAACATGAAGCCCTTTATTTAGTGCCTGGGCTCTTAACTGATTTTCCATTTTATAAATGTACACACAGGCTGATAATAAAAGTGACAATGATAACTGGTCAGGGCTTCATAACAACATTTGGCACCAAGCCCTTGGAGCTCCCATCTGCTGGTGGAAAACCCTCAGATATTTCCTACTGCCAGGTGTGTGCAGAAGAGGAAGCTGTGGGAAGCACCCGGGGATCTCACAAAACATTCACCATGTTCCCAGCTACAACTTCCCCTCTAGCTAGCGTCTCCTCTTTTATTTATTTTTTTAAATATTTATTTATGGTTTATTTAACTTTATTTTTGTGGCATTGGTGTGAAGGTGTCAGATCTCCTGCAACTGGATCTTCAGACAGTTGTGAGCTGCCATGTGGGTGCTGGGAATTGAACCTGGGTCCTCTGGAGGAGCAGTCAGTACTCTTAACCCCTGAGCCATCTCTCCAGCCCCGCGTCTCCTCTTTTAAAGTTGCCTCTGAGTCACAGAAACTCAGGAGTTCTATCATCAGACCACAAAGGAGAGGCCAGCTCCCAGGACTGAAGGCAACCTGAGTATCCCATTGTGAAATGACAGACTGGAGTGACCCAGTGCATGAGGTAACACGAAGCAAGAGAACTGCACTTCACTGCCATTCCCAAGGACTCAAACTCACAGCCAGCTGAACTTCCCAGAGCTCAGGACTGGCCACACAGGCAGTGGCTTCTTCAGAACTGCCAGCCCCTGCTGCATCTTGTAGGTGTTTCTGCTAACCAGCTCCTCAGGACTCTTAGGCCCCCAAGTTAAAAGTCCTTAAAGCCCTAGACCTTGTCCTATCTGGCAGGATGTGCACACGTACAGAGTGCAAATTCCAAGTCAGATTTCTCATGGCTAGCACATACCTATTGCACCTTTAGAAGATCCCTGACTTCAGAATATTTAGATGAATTTTTTTTAAAAAAAAAAAATCCCCAGAACTTAGCTGTCCCGAGCTAAACTCATCACTATTTTCTTTTGAAATTTACTGTCCTCAATCAGCGCACCATTCTAGTAAGTAGGAAGAGAACACATGTCCCCACTTCTGTGACACAGAAGGCTAGAAGGAACAGTGTGTGTCCCTCTCTAGAACAAAAAGAATAGCTGGGGTGGACAGAGCTGGCCCCAACAGCAACTCTACTGAGCATCCTCCAAACACCTTTACACCCTATACTACTACCTCCTCAGGAGCTTCAAAAGTGGTACTGTTTCATGGTTGTTCTAGATGGGGAAACAACAAGGAAGAAGCCTCATTGTGTGACCCCTATGTCTAATTCAGCTGCCTCCTCTCTCTCTGGAAAGGGCCTGGTTCCTCACCTCAAGAGTGACTTTAAAAAAAAAAAAAAACCCCACCACCGTGTTCCCCTTTTGTTGGGCAAGCTGGTTGCACACTTTGAATAGTGGCATGATGCACAGATACCAAGTGAGTGCCCCCCCAAAATCAGTGTCTGTCCCAGTAAATTAACATGGGTAGAGCCAGGTGTCACAGCAAAGTGGCACCTTAGACACCACTGTAGCTTTGCCTTTCACGAACTGCTCTTCCCAGTGCATTCCACACAGCGGGCCGAGGTAACTCACATCGAATGAAGTCAGTGGGAGAAGATGGGAGGAGAGATGACCACCTGTGCTGGGAAAGCCCAGCGGTCACAGTGCAAGCTCCCAGGTGGCAGGGAGAGGGCAGTCAAAATGGAATGAACTTGCCAGACCCATTGACTGGATATCTTCATCAAACGGGCTTGTCTTCCTCGTGAACACTGTCACTTAGCTCGGCATCACCGTCATCTGTTTAGGGGTAAAAGAGATGGAACCAAATGATCTCAACATCAAGGGGGTTCTTACCATCTGTCTCCTGTCATCTTGGTGACTTGTGAGCCACAGAACTGGATTTTATGGAGGAGGTAGGGCAGTAAGGTAGGGTACATAACAATCTCCTTTGTTCTAGTTTGTTTTGTTGGAGACAGGGTCTCATGTAGCCCAGACTGGTCCCAAACTCACTATGTTGCCAAGGATAACTCAACTTTTGATTCTCCTGCCTCTATTTCCCAAGTGCTGGCTTCAACCACACCTGGAAATCACCTGTTCTCTGAATTCAGAACCTAAACGTCCATACAGCGGCCCCCAATCAAACTACCCCTCCCAGCTCTTGTCTTCTTTCAAGGTCTTGAGATTTCTGTTTTTTTTTTTTCAAGGTCTCTTTAAACTCACAGAGATCCTCCTGCCTCTGACTCCCGAGTACTGGGACTAAAGGTGTGTGTCACCACCGCCTGCTGGTCTCAGGACTTTTAAATGTACCAACCAACATCAGAACTTGAGCACAGTTCTCCCTGGTCTTTCTCTCAGCACTAGAAAAATTTTACTTCCATTTTAACTCCTCCCCCACCCCGATTTTTATGCATTTAGCCTGCTGGTCTTAGCTAGCTGCCCACTCACAGATAATACAGGGCTTTCTTTCCTATTCAACAATCCCCATACTGTGTCTTCCCCCACGTACTTTGTTGGATGTTTCTTCTCTGTGCTGGTAGTTAATACGTGTTGATAATCTTACACTAAATGCTTGGGACCAGAAGTGATGTGGACTTCAGATTGTGGGTAATTTGCATGTACAAAATGAGAATCCATGGGGTGGGGGCCCAAGTCTAAACATGAACTCTAAGTTTATTTTATAGTTTCCTTAAATAGGTCATTTGTGGGTAATTGCAAAAAATTTTATCGTTTATTTAGTGGGGGTGGGTGGAAGTCAGAGGACAACTTTTGGGGGTGAATCCACTCTTTGTACCAGAGGCTGAACTCAGGTTGCCAAGACCTGGCAGCAAGAATGCTTACCCATTTAGCCATCTTGCCAGCCCCATTTCATACAACATTTAAAATAATCTCATGCATGAGACGAAGATCAACTACGTCGACACATCAGGCTGTGACATATTTTGTTTTGGGGATGGAATACTCAACCTAGCCTGGAGTTCCAGGTTCTAGACTAAACTTGAGCTAGCTCACTTCCTCAGGCTTTAAGAAATCGCCCCTACTCCTCAGAGACACCTCCTGGGAAGCTGATGTCACGGATCTGAGCATCTAGAAGGCAGGCGAGCTTACCATGCAGCTCCTGAAGTCCGTTCCCCATGCGGTCTAAGTTCCCATTGACCAGTGCAGTCACTCTGTGGATGTGTCCATGCTTGGATGTCTCTTTCGGCAACTCCTCTCTCTCATTTGTCTCCTGTTCTTCCTCCTCAATATCTTCCCTGCCCTCCTCCTCTTCCTCCTCGTCTTCCCCTTCGGAATCCACCAAAACCATGACGTCACCCATGTTCTGCCCCCTAATTTCCAAAGGAGAAAAAAATAATCAGGATGTCATCTATCCCAACTCAAGCCCCAGACACCACCAGACTCCTTGCAGTTCCTTTAAGACTATAAAAGTTCTTCACGCAGTCAGCATGGCTTGGTCATGAGAGTGAGGTTGTAACTTCAGGAAGAGATGTAGCCACAGATGGTGAAAGACTGTGGCCATGTCTTTTGTAAGGTATTTGTTTATATGCTGTCCCGGGCATTCAGCACTGTTTCTCAACACGGGGGGTATAGCAATGCTGCATTCTGAGCTGGGAGTGTAGCTCAGTGGCTGGAGTGCTTGCCTAGTATGTATGCATTGTGGGGTATGCCCACAGTTCCAGCACTTGGAAGGTGGGCACATGAGGATCCAAAGTTCAAAATCATCTTTGGTCACCATAGTGAATTTGAAGCCAGCCCAGGATACCTAGGAACCTTCTCTAAAGAAAAAGGAAAATAAAAACAAAGCTGGTTCTGTCCTAAAATGCCCTTATTTCTGTCTCACTCTTGAAGATCTCTCCTGATCATCTGGTTGGGTCTTCTACCCTCTACCTGCATCTGAGTTCTATGCCCAGCATCCTGGTGTGGAACTGCACTTGGCTCACCATGCCGCAGCCTGCCTCACCCACCTACACGTTTCTTGCAGAGGGAAGGTATGCTTTACCCACCCACGACAACCACCACTGCTCCCACAATTCACCCTCCTCACACCCTCTGTGAGATGGACACAGGGCACAAAGGCTCAGAGGATCAGGAATATTCCATACAGAAACTGGGAACAGCAACTGATATCTCCTGTGGAAAAGCCTGGAATGATAAATTTGCTGGGACACTGGCCCTCAACAACAGAGTGGCAATGGGAGTGGTTTCCCATGAAAGATGGTTCTAGAACAATAAGACTCCATTGTGAGGAATACGAAAAAAAAGGAGCTACTTTCTACATATCATAATGAAGAATTGTTTCCACTGCCCAGCATCAACCTGGGAAGTAAAATATACAAATTCTGTTTGTTTACTTTTCCCTCACTGAATTTTCGTGTGAGGGTGGGGACTTCTGGGCATGTTGAAACTTGTCTTCTAACACATTCCATACGCTTAAGACTTGGTCTTGCTTTTGCTCTTTTTAGAAAATGAAATAAAGCAAATGCCTGGGTAACCTGGCTCATGGGTACACACGGTCTACATGTTTCATCATGCCCAACCCATAGGTTCCCACTGTAATGGAGCACAGGACTCTGGAATCCATCAGACCCAGGTCAGAGGTCAGACCCTACCATCTGCTTCCTGGATTCACCAGCAGATCCTGATCACTCCACTGGGTCTCTCCACCTTCTCATCAATAAAACAGACACATGTACACATCCACCTCAGGATGTCACCAGGATGGGGAGTTTCCCACAATGCCTAGGGAAGCCCAAGGTCAGGGACGTGGCTGGTCCTATCAGAGGAACTATTATTGTTCTTATGAAAGCAGCAGTGCTAAGAAATGATGGCAGTAGGCTTTGGATTAGAGCCCTAAGAACACTCACCTGAAAGTGCTCCCTGCTGAAGAGAGAAAAGAAACAAAATTAAGCATCATGTGCATTATTTAAGTCTCATCAGAGTTGTCAATCAAACTAGCAATGGCTGAGGAGATGACTCAATAGCATGAGGACCTGAGGTCAAATTCATATGCATGGTTGTATGTACCCAGAACCCCAACATTGGGTGGGGAGAGAAAGGTGGAGCCTAGGAGTTTGCTGGTCAGCCAGCCTAGCCATAGGGAAGAGAGCATCCAGTACATGGAGACCCTGTCCCAAGTCAGTAAGGCAGAGTGCTAGAGGAAGTTGTAAGCCTTGCGGCTCTGATGGAAAGGGATCCCGGCAGTCGGGAGCCAAGGAATACTAAGTGCTACAGCTCGAATGGCAGCCGGGGGCCAGGAAATACTGAGTGTTACAGCTAGGATGGGAGAGCCCTCTGGCAGTCGGGAGCCAGGGAATAGCACAGGTCACAGTAAGCAACAGCTTACACCTCTGTTCTAGGGAAAGGTTTCCCCAATGTAACAGCTCTGTTGAAATTGTTACAGTTCAGCTTGGGGCCTGGAAGTGTAACAACTCCACTCTAGGGGAAAGTTTCCCCGGTGAAAGTGTTACTGCCCCCTCAGCTGTCTCTGCTCCCACCAAAGGAGGTCTTCACCCAAACTTCATTGAAGAGATTTCTTGGGAGGGAAGAATTCAGGAGAGTGGTTGCCTCTGCCAGGGTGGAAGAAGGGCAGCAGCAAACCGAACAAGCACAGGGCTTATACAGGGCTTCTTAGGGGCAGAATTTTTCCAGGGAGAACATTTGCAGGGTGGGAACTGGTCGCATCAGGGAAGCTTGGTTTCAGGGCCAATCTGCGTTTTTAGCTTTTTGGCTCTAGTTTTGGGACCAGGGAATATTTCTTTCACTGGCTCTGATTCTAGGGCCAAAGTGTGTTTCTTTGGCACTGGTTTCAGGGTCATGGTGTATTTCTTTGGTTCTGGGTTCCGGACTAAAGAAAATCTTTGGCTGGCTCTGGTTTCAGAGCCAAGGTAGGCTTCTTTGGCTGGCCCTTTTACCCTACAGAAGTCACCCCAGGTTTAGCTCTGACTTCTACATAGACACACATGGGTGCTTACACCCACACCTTCCTTCCTTCCTTCCTTTCTTCCTTCCTTCCTTTATTTATTATGTATACAATATTCTGTCTGTATGCCTGCAGGCCAGAAGAGGGCACCAGACCCCATTACAGATGGTTGTGAGCCACCGTGTGGTTGCTGGGAATTGAACTCAGGACCTTTGGAAGAGCAGGCAATGCTCTTAACCTCTGAGCCATCTCTCCAGCCCCCACCCATGTGGTTGCTGGGAATTGAACTCAGGACCTTTGGAAGAGCAGGCAATGCTCTTAACCTCTGAGCCATCTCTCCAGCCCCCACCCACACATTCCTGTGCATGCAATAGATACACAGAGAGAGAAAATAATAAATATATAATTAAAGATTTAAAAAAAAAATTAACACTGACAAAAGATGAACAATGAAGAAACATTCCGAATGCTTGGGGATGACACTCAGGGCCTCATTATTGCTCCAGTGAAGCATTAGAGGCTAGGGCAATAGGTGGAAGCTGGGCACAGAGTTTTCTTCCTACACACACCTTTTTAAATTATCACTTATTTTTATGAGCATGAGTGTTTGCCTGTGTATATGTCTGTGCACCACATACATGCCTGGTATCCAAGGAGACCAAAAGAGGGCACCGGATCCCCTGAAACTCAAGTATCAGACAACTGTGCGCTGCCATGTGGGTGCTGGTCCTCTGAAGAGCAGACAGTGCTCCTAACTGCTGAGCCATCTTTCCAGCCCACCCACAGTTTTTTCTGAAGTCTGAAAGAGAAGCAGGGGGACTCAAGGGGCTCTTACCTTTCCAGCAGAACACAGGACTGTAATACAGCATAAGCCCTGCGACAACGGCCAGTCCCAGCAGGAGGAAGCTCACCACCGTCGCCACGATGCCCCCGACATTCAGAGGTTCTGTGAAGAGATCACACCTTGAGCTCGTTCATTTGGTCATGCAAAACCTCCCCTCTTCTGCCCCAATCTGCTTCTTGGCCTGTCTTGGTTTCATGTCCTTGTGACCGCTCCAAAACCAGCCTTAAGCGGAGAGACTTTCGGAAATCAAGAAGCAGCAGCGTGAAAGAAAACTGCAAAGTTAAGGGCGCTGTGTGGGGCAGACGTCGGGAATGTCGCCAAGGCCACAGCAAGCGAGGGTGGGAGTTAGAGCCGTGGCGAGACAGGGTTTCTCTGTGTAGCCTGGTTAACCTAGAACTCACTCTGTAGACCAGGCTAGCCTCAGACTCACCAAGAACCACCTGCCTCTGCCTCCTGAGTGCTGGGATTAGAGGTGTGTGCCGCCACCGCCTGGCCAGGACAGAGAATTTAGGCACTGGCTACACTTAGAGAGAAATGTGGTATCTGGGTGTGGTGGGACAGACCCAAGACAGGAGGATCACAAGTTCAAGCCTAGGAAGTGCTAGGCTAGCCAGGGCTACACGAGACCCTGCCTCATATGAAGAACAAACAGGAGAACAGCGTTATACTGTGGTGCGTGTGAACAAAGGAAGCTGGGACAGTAGGAACTGGGTCAAACCCAGGCAAAGTGGAAGGGGCCAAAGCGAGGAAAGAAACTCGACCCAAACACACAGCATCTACAAAACTCAAATGTGTCAGGAGAATGTGAAAGTTTGGAAGAAATTATAGAAGCAAGTCAGGTATGGTGGCAGGCACCTGTAATTCCAAGCACTCTAGCAATGACGATATAAAATCAAAATATCAATCAACTCTGAACAACACTGAAGACGTTCTGTGGCTTGCAGTCTAAACATCCATCGCAAATTCATTCTCTTGGTACACTTGTCTTTTGTTTGTGTGCTCACATGTGCTTGCGCAGGCATGTCACAGCATGTGCATGAAAGGCAGAGGATAACGCGGAAGAGTCGGATCTCTCCTTTACCACGTGGGTCCCGGAGCACAAACTCAGACCTGGCAGTTCCTCCCTGAGCCATCTTACCAGCCCACAAACTAATTCCCTGGGTACAATGAGACATGTGTATCCATCTCATTAGCGGGTCAGTTTGCTCTCATGTTTAATGAATGGTGAAAGAGTATGTATATCCCAAAAAAGTTTTCCCAAAAACTGCTTTATGATTTATCATCAGGAAGTGTTTGATTTGTGTATTTTATATCTCTTCTTACCAAGGGCTCTGGAATCCTTTGGGCAAAAACTTGTTACTGAAATAACTATTTAAAAAGCTGGGTGGTGGTGGCGCACGTCTTTAATCCCAGCTCCACTCAGGAGGCAGAGGCAGGCGGTTCTCTGAGTTGGAGGCCAGCCTGGTCGACAGAGCGAGTTTCAGGACAGTCAAGGCTACAGAGAGAAACCCTGTCTTGAAAAAACAAAACAAAACAAAACAAAAAAAAACCACCACACCCCCCTCCAAGAAAAAAATTTAAACAGCAGCTCTGGCACAAAGGAACATCTCTTCCTTGCTCCCGCCTCCCCTCCGCTCTCCTTGTTTTTAAACAGGGTCCTGTAGCCCAGGCTGCCTCAAACTCTCTAGTTGCTGAGATGACCTTGAACCTCCACTTCCTGCCACCATACCCAGTTTACAGGGTGGAGATGGGACCCTGGGCTTTGGTGTCTTCATATATAAAAGTTGTTAATAATGACTTCTAGAACTTGCCCCGCCCCCACAGGGAGTTCCACGTACTTTATAAAGTAGAGGATAGAAGAGGACTATGAATTCACTTTCCTGGTACAATTCACTACACACATGGATGTGTGTGCACATATGCATGCAAAGTTAGATAAGCATGTTCTTGCACAATCTTCGGTGAGAGACAGGAGTAAACTGTTCTGGTTCTGTGTCCTAGGCATACGTCAGTGCTTCAGGGATTGGACACTAATTTTCTCAGCCATCTTGTCAAGCCATAGGCAAGTGGAGATGGCGTCTTCAGTTGGCCATGGCCTCCCCCCCTCAATGGGGCCAGGTGCTCTGAGGACCTTACGTTTTCAGGGCCACCCTCGGCACCTACCTTTCACACTCAGCCAGATGTCTACCGCCCTCACCCCCACGAGGTTCTCGGCCCGGCAGAAGTAGAAGCCCTCATCCAGGTCCTGGGAGCAGTTGTAGATGGTGAGGGAGGAGCCCTGGCCATGCTGGGTAATGTGATAGTGACCGCTGGGCTGGATGGCCACCTCTGGCTGTGTGAGGTTCCTCAGCCACTGGATCTTGGCAGGTGGGTTGGCGCCTGTCACTTGGCAGGTGAGCGTCACGTTGCCCCCCATGAGGCAAGTTTTCATAGGCTGAGAAGCAAGTGAGGGGCTCGCTGGGGGTCAGAAGAGGGTAAACAGAGGCAAATGTTTCAGGAGATTCAAGCCATGGCCTATCTTACCCACCGAAACAACCAAAGCTCCTCTTTCCCACATTTTGCCTGGTCCTCTGGATAAAGCCTGCCGCCTATCGGGTACTTACTGTGCACAAGGGGCTGTATGCAGATGAGCCCAACTCAGTCTCAAGATTATTCCCATTTGTAGAGAAGGAAACTGAGGCACAAACAAAGCCAAGAGACGTCTAATAGTTTAACGTTTAATAGTGGAAAGCGACCTTGGAGGGTTGGAGCCAGGGAGCACCACAACGTCACAACATGCAACAGAGCTCACGTGAAAGGTTTGGGGGTGTGGGGGGGGAGAAGCAGAGGCAGCCTCTGGGAAAGAGAAGCAAGAAGGGCTTGCCTTATTTTGTTTGTTTTATTTTGAGACAGGGTTTCCCAGTAGCTATGGAGCCTGTCCTGGAACTCACTCTGTAGACCAGGTTGTGCTTGAACTCAGAGATCCCCTTGGGCTGGGATGAAAGGCATGCACCACCCCCGCCCAGCAGGGCTTGCTTTCTGTAACGGGTGCAGCTCATGTGCAGGGAGTGCTCTATTTAGAGGCTGCAGCAGCTGGGGTCGCATCTTACCTGCTGCTGCTGAGCTGTCCTAGCAGGCCCCTGAGAGCAGGCCAGTGGAAATGCCCGAGGGCTAACATGGCTGCTCAGTCACACAAGATAAATGAGAGGTCACAGGGTGACCTGCTGTCCCGCTTTCCCTAGAACTCAGAAGACTGCTGGGTTGGGAGGTTTTCCAGGCAACACCAAATCAGCTCTGGAAGTACAGTGGGTGCTGGACACAGAATCCACAGCCTCACTCAGGCTAAGCAAGGGCTGTTCTACCTTTAGCCTTAGTTTCCTTTTAAGCTCTCAAGAGACAGGGTTTTGGGCTGGGTCGGGGGTGGGGGTGTCAGTGGAAGGGGCTCCTACTGTGTGGGAGAGCTGGGGCTTCATCTACTGGACAAAACCAAGAGAACAAAGGAGCCTGATGATTCTCCCCACTCCCCTTGAACGTGGGCTTCAGGAACGTTGCTAAGAGATAGAATGTTCCAGAAGACAGACCAAGCAACTCCCAAGGCTAGGTCCTACAAAGAAAGGGTCACTCCTGCCCAGCTTAACCCCTCTTCTATCACTGGCTCTCAGCAAAGTGGGTGGATACACTGAGACACATGCTGGAGCCCCACGGAGCGGGGGTGGTCCCATGTGGGAAGGAGACAGCTCACCATGCACGCAAAGTCGGCACCTGTGCAGTGTATCTCTCATCCTTTCAGCACCCCAACTTCTGAGTCTTCTGGCTGAGACCTCGCCCCATCACACTCTTGAGAAGAGAACTGCACCCTACCAGACATCCTCAGGCAACAAATGGTATTGTCTACGCCAAGTATGGGGGCCAGGATCCTCGGTTACATAATAAAGAGGATAAACAGGGGCACCCCATCCACCCTGTGCACTGTGCCGTGCCAAGAGACTAGAAAAGAGGGCACAGGCACACAGTTAGTTTCCGTGAGGAAGAACCTAAGTCAGGCATCTTTAAACTCCAATGGGAACAGCCACGAGGCACAAGGAGAGGTGGGGGAGGGGTCTGGGCACTCCAGCACTGAGCCTCTCACAGGACTTCCATCAAAGGACTCTTTGAGAAGAAAGGCAGGCAGGTGAACCCCAACCCCGGAACAAAGCGAGCCAGACTCACAGATCTGTACCACACAGCTGGCTTCCGACGCTGGTCCCACTATGTGGCTCCCAACGCATTTGAACTTCTTGCCCTCGGACAGCTGGGATGGGCTCAGCGGCTGCAGCTTTGAATCCCCCACGACCACCCCTCCCGGTTCTTCCGTCCACAGGAAGGTCGGGTCAGGGTAGCCCCCATCCCAATTACAGGTGAGTTCCAGGGTAGCCGATTCTGAAGACACCTCCGCTGAGCACTGAGGAGCTGACGGAGGGGGCCCTGCAAAGGAGCAGAGAAGAAGCGTGCTTCATTGGGTGCAGGGTGTGTGTGTGTGTGCGTGTGTGTGTGTGTGTGAGAGAGAGAGAGAGAGAGAATGGACTGACGGAGGGGGCCCTGCAAAGGAGCACAGGAGAAGCGTGCTTCATCTCAGAGTCAGAGGGCAAGGCAGCGGGTGCAGGGGTGTGTGTGTGTGTGTGTGTGTGTGAGAGAGAGAGAGAGAGAGAGAGAGAACACACTGACGGAGGGGGTCCTACAAAAGAGCAGAGAAGCATGCTTCATCTCAGATAGCAGGGCAGTGTGTGTGTGTGTGTGTGTGTGTGTGTGTATGTGTGCACGTGCGTGTTACAGAACCACGGTATCAGAGAGCCATCAAGGCCGGCTAGTCTACCTTCAAAGAGCACCTTCTGGGCTGAAGGTGTAGCCCAAATCGCACAATACATAGCACACTAGGGTTTGATCCTCAACACCCACAAAACAGTCATGGTGGTACTCATCTGTAATACTAACACTTGGGAGACACACACAGGTATACATGCAAGCAAAACACCAATAAAAAAAATTAAAAACAAACAAAAATTTTGGATTTTTTAACTTCTTTTTATGTGCATTAATTTTTTGCCATGAGTTTTGGGTTCCCTGGAACTGGAGTTACAGACAGTTGTGAGCTGCCATGTGGTTGCTGGGAAATGAAACTAGGTCCTCTGGAAGAATAGTCAGTGCTCCTAACAGCTGAGCCATCTCTGCAGCCCAGAACTTTGGATCTTCTATGAGTAGGTGTAAATAGAGCACCCACCTATAGGAAAAATTACTGGGAACAAACACAGCGATGCTCAGAGCAACCGTCCCTGTGTGAAGCCGTGTTGTAAACACACACATTTAGAGATTTATGTTACTTAGTGTGTGTCAGCATGCTCCTCAGAAATCCTCCTGCCTCCTCTGCCTTCCTCAGAACTGAGTTTACAGGCATGTGTGGGGTGCCGGGTTTGTTATGTCTGGTGCTGGCACCCAAACTCTGACCCTCATGATGGAGCAAGCACGCTTGGTCACCAAGCCTTCATCACTGCAGCCTGAAAGACACGCAGTTTCTACATTACTAATAACCACTTATGAGAAAGCACAGAGTCAGTGGGGTGTAACGAGATACACTTTGGATTCTTGCTGTTGGTAACAAGAGTGGGCTGGGACAGCTACAGGGTTTACAGAAAGAAAGATGGAGAGATGGAACAGCGGAGAAATAAGTTGTGGTATTTTCATACAACGGATCACAATTCAAGCATGAAAAGTGAGTTCAAGACCAGCTTGGCCTGTGAGCAAGAATGAAGCACTGATGCATGCATAATGCAGTGTAGATGAACACACTACATGAAGGGACAGAAACCAGACAGAAGGTTACGCTATGAAGATCTACTCGTAAAAATATAGGGATGGAGAGAATGCCTTGGTGTTTATTAGCACCAGTTTCTCTGGAGGATCCAGGTTCAATTCCCAGCACCCACATGGCAGCTCACAGCTGTTTGTAACGCCAGTTCCAGGAGATCCAACACCCTCACGTAGACATACATACACAAACAAAACATCAAAGCATATGAAAAAATAAATTTAAAAAAGACAAGACTATTCAGAATTTGAACTGGCAAGAGACTCAATGACTAGCCTGCCATGCCTGACACCCAGAATCAGATTTCTGGGACCCACATAGTGGAAGGAAAGAAACTGACTCCTGCAGATTACTCTCTAAGCCTGACATGTGTGTGGTAGCATGTGCACACACATAAACACATATTAACATATAATGAGCCAGTCCTGGTAGTGCACATACTTGATCCTAGCATTTAATAGGCAGAAACAAGTGTATCTCTGTGAATTCAAGACCAGCCTGGTCCTTCTAACAAGTTCCAGGCCAACTAGGGCTAAATAGAGAGACTCTGTCTTAAAAGAAAAAAAAAAGTAATAAATAAATAAGTACACTTTTTAAACATTCCAAACACCTGTATTAGTGTGGGAGACAAAGATTAATTTGTTCAATCCTATCGTTTAGGAATTAACTAGGACCAAAGGCATCTGAGATAAAGATGAAGGGAACAACATGGCTGGAGAAATGACTCAGTGGTTAAGAGCACTGCCTGCTCTTGAAGAAGTCCAGGGTTCGATTCCTGGTGCCCACATGACAGTTTACAATTTACTCCGATTTCAGGGGATCTAGCACCCTTTTCTGGCCTTCCTGGGCACCAGACAGGCACACAGTACAAATACGAAAATGCAGGCAAGCTAAGCCAAAAAGGAAAGGACAGTCAGTAGATGGAAGGGCTGGCGAGATGGCCCAGTAGGTGAAGGTGCTTGTGGCTAAGCCTGAGGAAGTAATCCCTGGAATCCAAGTGGGTACAAGAAGGGTACATGATGTGGGAGGTCCTTCTGTATATGTTTGCTTTTATTGGTTAATGAATAAAGAAGCTGCTTTGGCCTGTGATAGGGCAGAGTAGAGCTACGTGAGAAAACTAAACTGAATGGGGGAGAAAGAAACAGAGTCAGTGAGACACCATGGAGCCGCTGGAGGAGACAGACGTACATGCCCCAGAACTTTACTGGTAAACCACAATCCTCGTGGTAAAATATAAAACAGCTAGCTAGCAATATGCTTAAGTGATTGGCCAAGCAGTGTTTTAATTAATACAGTTTTATGTAATTATTTCAGGTCTGAGCAGCCAGGAACAAACGAGAAGCCTCCTCCTACAGGAGCAGAATCTTTCAAGTCGTCCTTGGACTTCCACATGGCATGCATGTGCTATCACAGATGCACACACGTATGAAAATAGATAAATCCAGGGATCAGAGTAGTCAGGACTGAGAAGTAGAGGAGGAACAGCTGACCGATGAGGCTCAGGCCTCCTAGGGACGAGACCTTAGTGAGAGAGGTTTAGCGTCATTGTGGGTGTGCCCTCAAAGGGGAGTGTGGGACCCTAGCCGCCTTTCTTCCACCAAGCCGTGAAGTGAATGAGCCCCTTTGCAATGTGCTTCCTTCGTGACATGCCGTACATGGCCAATCAGTCACAGGCTGGAACCCCTTACAGCCGTGAGGCAAAAGAAACCTTTTTTCTTCCTAAGCTTATTGTGTTGGGCTATTTATGTTAGTTCCAAAAAGCTGACTAACACAGAACCCACCAAAGGTGATAACTCCACAGCACATACTCAAGCCAATGAGTTGTGCTCTTTTGTGTGATGACTGCACATGTATGCATGCACATGTGTGCGTGTACATGTGTACAGGTGCATGTGAAGACCAGAGGTCAACCTTAGATGTTGTTCCTTACATAACCACCTTATTTTTTGAGGTGCGATCTTTCTCTGGCCTGGAGCTTGCCCAACAGGCTGGGCTGGCTGCCTAGCGGGCCCCAGGGGTCCTCAATCTCTGCATCCTCAGAACTGGGACTGCAGGCACAGACTGCCATGTCCTGCCTTTTTTATGTGGGTGCTGGGGATTCAACTCCATTTCTCATGCTCGTGTGGCAGACGCTTCACCAACAGTTGTATTCCCAGCAATCTTTTTCGAGACAGCCACTTTGTTGCAAAGACTCATGATAGTCCTCCTGTCTCAGCTTTCCGAGTGCTAGGACGGCAGGGATGAGCCATCATGAGCAGCATTCATGTATTTTGAAACATTACTTTTCCCACTATTAAAAAAAGCTCTATATTAGTTTCCTTCTGTGGCTTAGAGGACTCTGCTACACCCCAGACAAGAACAAGCTCTTAGAAGCTGCAGAGACGGCTCAGCGGTTAAGACAACTACATGGTGATTCACAATCATCTGTAACGAGATCTAGTGTCCTCTTCTGACCTGCAGCATACATGCAGGCAGAATACTGTATACATAATAACAAATAAAATTTAAAACAAAAACAAGCTCCCAGAAGCAATGGGCCTCACCTGACAACCCAGGTACATGCATGCATGTTGAAACATGCAATGAAGCATGCTAGGATCTGAGCATGGACATACACTAGAGCGCTATACAGCCCCCAAAGAAATGAGACTCTAAAATGCACTACAAGCCACAGTGTGGAGGAAACTGCAAGGCAGGAAGGAACAGTATTAAAGCTCAGAGAAGATACAGACATGGTAGACGGAGGGACGTGCCGCTTACGCACAGTAGACCAGGAGCTCGGTGGTCACCTTTCGCTGTCTGCCGCTGAGCGCGTTGGTGGCCGAGCAGGTATAGTTGCCTTGGAGGTTCTGGGACATCTGCAGCAGCGTGAAGCTGTTGGCCGTCAGGTTCCTTCCGAAGACCTCCGAGATGTGGGCCTGGAAGCACCACTCCACCTCGGGTGGAGGTCGGGAGGCGCTGCGGCAGCTGAAGTCCACCTGGGAGCCCTTGGCTGCATACAAGGTGCCATTGGGGAGGGCACCCGTGGCTGAGATGTTCACCACAATCTGATCGGGGCCGCCTGGGAATGATGGGGAGGACGGGTATAAATCAACACTGTGGGGTTTGAGGTCAACAGCTCTAAAGGAACCGGAGAGCAAGGACAGTCTACCGGCACTCACTATGTGACGAGGCTGTGCTAAGTGTCCTCAGACACACACACACCCCACTCGTTTGCTCTTGGACTGTAGTATGACGTAGACTGTGGATCGGGAAGAATTCTTAAAAGACCTGACACTTGTTTTGCGGTTTTTATGTTTGCTTTTATGACATGTAGCCCAGGCTGGCCTCAAATTATGTAGCTGGGGATGACCCTGAGCTTCTGATTCCTGTCTTCACCTCCCAAGTGCTGTGGTCACAAACGTGTGATACTGTGCCTGGTTTATGTGGTGCTGGGCATCAAACCCAGGTTTCACGATGCTAAGCAAACACTAGCAACTGAGCAACATCCCCAGCCCTACCTCGAAGAACTTCCAATCCTCCTGCTTCCACTTCCCAAATGTTGGCGTAGAAACACTGCAAGCGGCTGGGACGTCCCAGAGGGTAGTAAGTGCTTGCCGCTCTTACGGAGGTACCAAGTTACAGTCCCAGGACCCGTGACCAGCGGCTCACCATTTCCCCCAACCCAGGTCCAGAGAATTCAGTCTCCTCCGAACCCCTGTGCGTGCGCATGCGCGCGCACATGCGCACAAAATAAATCTCGTCATCAATACAGACCTTTGATCCCACCAATCAGAAGGCAGATACAACCTGTGGGTTCCAGGCCAGCCAAGTCTACACAGAGAATTCCAAGACAGCCAGTGCTACATAATGAGATCCTGTCTCCAGAAAACAAAAATAAAAGAGAGCGTAGAGACAACGCTCAGTTCAACAGTGAAGCCTACCAACTTCTCTCCCGGAGGACCTGAGCTGGGGTCCCAGACACCCACATGGTCGCTCATTAACGGTCTTTAACACAAGTTCCAGGAGATCTGGTGCCCTCCACAGGCAAAATTAAATTCATAACACTGAATTTTAAAAAAACAACAACAACAAAAACTTCCTGCCAAGGGACTAGCGGTTATGAGCACTTGCAGCAAACAACATCAACAAAAAACACGTTGGGCCCACAGCAGCTCAACTTCTTTCCTACTGAGGTCCTGACCCGAAAGGACCTAAACCCAGCCATCAGGGTGGTTTCCACCATGCCCCAAACCCGTCACCACGGCTCGCCAGGTCTCTCAGTCTAGTACAAGGGGTGGTTTAGGGAGCACTGGCTTTCCTCAGAGAACCTGGAATTCTATGTGTGGGTAGACCAGAGCCCACGGAAAGCTCTGGCTCTGTCTTCTCAATCGCCCTGGCCCTGGAGAGCGGCTGCTTTCTCTCTAACCACTGGATGTGGAGAGCTCCTGGGAGTTGCCCTAGAGTATCCGCGAACCTGAGGCTGGTCTTGTCAACACCCCAATCCTCCAGCTCCCCACGCCCCAACACACAAACACACCAGGCTGACAGGAAACGATTGCTTTGGGCCTGACTAAACTCCAACTGTGTAGCTTCAGGCAACTTTCTCATCCTTGTTCGGCCTCAGTTTCCCCCTCTGTGAAATGAGGGTGATGACAGTATTCCCCCATGCAGGGCCAGAGTTTATATAATGGAACACCCAGCACGGTTTGTAGAGTGGACCTATCTTAGTTCACTTTAACTTCTGAACTTCTCATTTATTCTCTTCAGGACTGGGTATCAAACAGGGCTTTGCACATGCTGCCCACAAACACCTCACCCCGACTTGAACTGTCTTGACCCCAAAAATGCCCTGCAAGGTGGTACCCAGTGCATCCAGGATGCCAAGCTCCCTTTGGTAAAAAAAAAAAAGAGCACAGCTCCCTGCTGGGGAAGCAGTGCAGAGATGCACTGTGTGCTTAGTGGGTACAAGGTTCTGGGTTCAATGGCTAAGCACCATAAATGTGATGGGGCGGGAAGGAGGACAAGGGAGGAAGGGGGGAGAGGAAGGAGGAGGGGGAAGACAAGCATAGACGGAGGGAAACCTTTCATCCCAGTCCTTAGGAGGCAAAAGTAAGTGGATCTCTGTCAATTCAGGGTCAGCCTAGTCTACATAGAAGAGTTATAGGCCTGGCAGGGCTACATAAGGAGACCCTGCTCAAAACCAAACAAACAAAAATTATTAAAAAGAAAGGGGGGGGGCTGAAGAGATGGCTCAGCGCTTAAGAGCATTGCCTGCTCTTCCAAAGGTCCTGAGTTCAATTCCCGGCAACCACACGGTGGTTCACAACCATCTGTAATGAGGTCTGGTGCCCTCTTCTGCCCTCCAGGCATACAAGCAGACAGAATATTGCATACATAATAAATAAATAAATATTTAAAAAAAAAAGAAAGGGGAAGAAAAGAAGCATAAATTAGTTCGCCAATTAAAAGACATTAATGGGCACACCCAGTGGCTGCTCACGGGCCTCTCCTCAGAGAGCTCTCTTTTAGGAAACAGCCCAGGCAGGCTGAAGCTTCAGCAAAGGAATTCATTCGTCTCCAGCTGTGAAGTTTAGTTCAGAAATAGTCAGCGGGAAACAGAAACTCCTCTGTGGGATGCACAGATTTTCCTATGCAGCCCTCCAGTGGAAAGCACCACCTTTCCCTAGGGCCTCACTAAGTAGCCCAGGCTAGCCTCGGCCTTGAGCTCCTCCTGCCTCTGCCTCCCAAGGCTGGGATTACAAGTGTGTTTTCTTCTACACCTGGATCAGGACAACATCCTGTCAGGTGGCTCCTCGGGAACCATACTGCCTACCCCTCAAGGATCTGGGGAGACTTAGGTGGTGGCCTGGGAGGTGCTGAATGCTCCATTCGCTAGCGCTGGCTAGTCCGTCAGGTATGCGGCCCAACAGGTTCTAGGGCGTGTCTTCCCCTGGCATCCCTCCATCTAAACAGGGTTCAGCTGGAGTACGGGGGTACACTGGTGATCAACACCAGGGACTGGCAATGTCACACCTCTGGTCTCCCAGGTCCTGGTGGCCTGGCCTGGACACAGTGCATCCCAAGAAAGTAGCTGGGAAGGACTTTTGAACAGGATAACGAACAAGACGTAGAATTTGCTGCCAAGAATCACTGGACAGGAGTCAGGCGGGAGGATCATACAGGGCGGGAGATGGCTCAGCACACAAAGGCACTAGCCGTGCAGACCTGAATTCTGGAGTCCGATTCCCAGACTCCCTGTACGAGGCGGGTGTGGTGATGCGAGCCTCCTAGTGTTCCTGTGCTGAGATGGGAGGCAGAAGCCAGAGAAACTCTGGGAAGCGAGAGTCGAACAGTGCAGCTGGACACCTGAGCGACCCTGACCAGCACAGGGAAGTGGAGAACGGAGTCCCGAGCTGTCTTCTGACCCCTGACAGGTACAGACCCACTCCGCCATGCACAGATAAATAAATCAACATTTAAAAAGTGCAAGCAAGAAAAGATGCTTGCTGTCAAGCCTTCCAACCTGAGTTTGATATCCAGACCCACAGAGTGGAAGGAGGGAACCGGCCCCAAGTTGTCCTCTGACCTCCACACAAACACCCCGGCACATGTGCGCTCACACACATACACACACATTAAATTAAAAATGTAAAAAGCAGAGCCAGGCAGTGGTGGTGCACATTTTTACTCCCAGCACTCAGGAGGCAGAGACAGGTTGATCCCTTTGAGTTTGAGGTCAGCCTGGTCTACAGCGAGTTCCAGGACAGCGAGAGCTACAGAGAAACCCTGTCTTGAAATCTGCCCCCCCAAAAAAGAAGTAAAATATATTTTAAAAATATTAAAAGAAAAACCAGCTCTGGAGAGATAGCTCAAGCATTAGAGGCAGCAGCTGCTCTTGCAGAGGACCTGGGTATTGTTCTCAGCACCCAAGCCAGATGGCTCACAGCTGCCTGAAAGGACCAGCTCTCTGACTCTGAAGCCTTCTTCTGGTCTCCACAGACATCCTCTTTTTTTCTTTATGGCATACACACACATACATAATCTCTTGTTTTTTGACGCAGGGTCTCACCTGGTGAGGCTAGGCAAGCAGTTCACCACTGAGCCACACCCCAACCTTACACCATGCTTTTGTTGTTGTTGCTTGTGTTGGTTTTCTCAGGTAGCCCAGGCTGGCCCCAAACTAGCATCCTAGCCAAGGATGACCTTGAACTTTTGATTTTGATCCCCCTACTAAAACTATGGACCTGTGACACCACATTCAAGTTCCTTAAATACTACTTTCACTGATGTGCCAGCCAGCCAGCGTGCATCCCAGACCCCATGGAATGAATCCTAAATCTGAAGCTCAATCTCTCCCTATGGCTTCTTCTAAGCACCCATGTGTGCTTCAAACCCAGGTGTGGTAGTAGTCTGAATGTAAGTGGCCCCCATAAGATCATTGAGAATGGCACTATTAGGAGATGTGGCCTTGTTGGAGTAGTGTGGGCTTGTTAGGGAAGTGTCACTGTGGGAGCCAGCTTTGAGGTCTCCCATGCTCAAGATACATTCAATGTCTCCATTCACTTCCTGTTGCCTGTGGATCCAGAGGCAGAACTCTCAGCATCTCAGGCACCACACCTGCCTGCCTGCCTGCCTGCCTGCCTGCCTGCCTGCCTGCATGCGAGCTGCCCTGTCCCATTGTGATGATAATGAACTAAACCTTTGAACTGTAAATCATCCAATTAAATGGTGACTTCTAAGAGTTGTCATGGTGTCTCCTCACAGCAATAGAAACCCTAAGACACCCAAGTTAATCAAACATTGAACATGATGGGGCCAATGATTTCCCCTCCACAGACCCACTACTCCCTCTCGGCACTCGTCAACGAGCAGGACTCTATTAACAGACACTCAGTTCAGGGAGCATGGACCGTCCCTGAGGCATCTTTTGCCGGAAGTTCACTGAGACTGCAAGATAAGATATACAGGATGCTAGGACTATGACCCAGCCCCCAGCCCCAGCTGACTGCCAAGGGGGATTGGCAGTTGATACAAGCCTGTCTCCTCATTGTCCTCCTGCCAATCAGTTCCAATGACCCATTGCAAATGCTCGCTCGGCTTGAGAAACTAGACCCAGAGTGAGCCTCGCCCAGTGTACCCTGAAATCTGACTTGGGTTTTTCATGGGCTGGTCTTCGGCCTCCTCACTCAGTTCCAGGACTCAGCTTCCCAAATGTTGGCACTGAAAAAATACTGTGCAAAAAGCACCAAGGCTGCAGGACTAGTTGAAATCTGAGCCACCTTCACCACCCCTCCAACCTCACAGAGAGCAAGCACTCAGCTGGCCCACCCATCCCACGTCCATGTGGAGGCAGAAGCGAATGGGGACATTAAGTCAACAGCTTCAACAGCCCTGGAATATGTGCCAGAGGACTTCTGGACCCTTCGGACCAGAGTAACAAGAGGGCTAAGATGACCATGGCCCCATTCTTCATCTGACCTATTTACTTCAATATTTGTTTGCTTTTATTTTACGTGTATGGTGGTTTTTCTGCATGTGTGTAGGTGTACCTTATGCATGTCTAATACAGTTATCAGGTCACCTGGAACCGGAGTTACAAACGGTACTTGGCCACCACGCAGGTGCTGGGAACCAAACCCAAGTCCCCTCCGAGAGCAACCAATGCTCTAAGTGGCTGGTTTATGTCTCCGGCCCCATTCATTTCTATTTTTCAAAGGCGGGGCTAGCTATGAACTCCCTAGCCAAGGAAACCCTTGAATGTCTAACCCGACCTTCTCCCTCCCTGAGTGCAGGGATCACCACACCTAGCTCTTCTGTGGTTTGGGGGATGAACCCAGGGCTTCACGTATGTGAGATAAGAACTCCACACACTGAGCCATGCGCCCAGTCTTAGTCTCACCCTTAGCAGGACAAGGCACTACATACTCTTTGGGTGGGAGTGATGGGTGACATCCTCCTGTGGTGCCCACACCAGGTGGGCTAAATCCTTCCCACCATGGCCTACAGAAAACTGACTCCCACTGGGGCACAGGGGACATCGGTGGCAGAAGCCTCCCAACCTAGACACAGCTGGACAGAGGCACACACGCCTCCACGGCAAGTCCTGGATACCAAGGTCACCTATAGATAAGAACCTGTGTAGCCTGGGACAGCTCGGGATTTTTCCTCCCTGGTTCCAAGGCCATGTTAGAATATTTGCAAACATTTCTCCTTGAGATGGCAAGCACACACAAACACACGTAGGCACACAAACGTGACCAAGTTACCAACCATTTGAGTGAAATGATAAAGAAAACTCAGTGCCCGACACTCACCAAATAACATTCAAACACCCAGATGGGAACTGTGACCCAAGCGCTGGGAAGACAGGCAGGAGGATTGCTGCAAGGGATTTGATTGCTGCTGTTGTGTTTTGTGGGTTTTTTGATTTGTTTTGTTTTTTGTTGTTTTCTGAGACTGGAGTCTCAAGTAGCACAGGCTGGCCTCGACTTTGCTATATAGCCAAGGATAACCTAGAATTCACGATAGTCCCACCTCTCCCTCCAGAGTGCTAGGATAACCCATAAGTAAGTTCATTTCTCTTTCCCTCCCTCCTTCCTTCCCCTTTTTTAGATAAAAGATCAAAACCCATGTTCCTACTCTTGCTAAGTAAGCATTCTACTCCTAAGCCAGCTGTGGCTACTTAACAAGACTCTGCCTCATAAAGAGGCAGGCAGATCTCTGTGAATTCAAGGTCAGCCGAATCTACACAGTGAGAACCTGTCTATCTCCACAACCCTCCGCCTCCAAAAAGAAAAATGGGAGGGAGGATGCGAGATCAGAGGGAGGCAGGAAGAAAAGGCCTGGATGCACTGATTGCTAGGACCTTGGGATGCATTCTTCCCACGGGAAACCGGTCACCTTTGTAAGCAGCAGACCCCAGGCACACGGCCAAGGTCGAGTCAACTGTGGCCAGTTTACCTTATCAGTGCATCGGGCGCAGCAGAACTCCACCACGGCCCTGAACTAACGTTGACAAAACTGAATGAAGGCTGAGGAGCCAGGAGCCAGGAGAGCCTAGATCTCAGCCTCAGGTGTGTGGAACACCGAGGACAGGCGGTACCGGGCCCTTCCAGGGGTGTAGAGCGGGACACACTCTCAACACCCTCAAAACGCTCCCCCCTCCGCCCTCCCCACGACAAAAGGAAGCCAAGTCCCCTTCAAAGCCATGGTCTTCCTCGGTGGCCAATGAGGAGCAAGCAAGGAGGATCCGGAAGGGTCTAAGGTTCAGGACTCTTTCCCAGAAGGCTCTGCTGCAGAAGAGTCTCAGGGCACCGCCCCCACTTCTTGTGGAGAACTGTTACCTACGGGCCTACATTTCCCACCGAAGGGCTTCCCACAGTCCGAATTGCATCAGATGTGTTTAGGGAGTACAAAGTCTCACTTGATCTCAGGGACGTTTGAGCATTTGTTAGCAGGTGTGTGCGCATGCGTGTGACGGACAGAGGCCAACCCTGGCAGCAGTTCCGCAGACCCTGGCCAGTTCTTCGTTTTGTTTTGTTTTGTTCTCAGACAGGGTTTCTCTATGGAATTCAGGCCGGCCTCCAATTTACCCAGATTACAATCGCCTATCACTCAAGCCCACATTGATGGTGACCTCTTCCCCAGCCTCTCACTGTTCCCAAAGCCTATCCCTTTTCCAGGCCCACTTACTGGCCACCCGCAGCCACACAGGGAACCGGCGGGTCTCATTCAGAACCTCCTGGCAGGTGTAGTTGCCGTCATCCTCCAGGCTCAGTGCCTCCACGTGCAGGGCACCCGCGTCCTCTAGAGAGAAGCGCGGCGAGGCTGGAGGGAGGCTAGAATTGGAGGACAGCAGGAAGACGGGCTCTGAGTCGTTCCGGTACCAGGTCACGGGGCCCCTGGGTCCTGTCACGTTGCCACAGTGTAGAGTGACGTTCTCATGAACCTCGACGATGGCCACAGCACCTAGGTCTGGAAGGGAAGGTCAAGCTGTTAACACCTTTTCTGGCTGACGGGCAACAACCCTTTGGAAACGGTAGGATTTTCTTCAATAGCATGTGGTGCTCGCATGCGTGAGCGCACGTGTGAAGCAGGGTCTCACGCAGCCCAGACTGGCCCTGAGCTCATATGCAGGAGCACATATGTGAGTCAGGGTCTCACGCAGCCCAGACTAGCCCTGAGCCCCACAGAACACTACTCAAGCATGGACCTTGAACTTCTGTCCCCCACCTCCCAAATGCTGGGATTACACGCTGTCCCACATGTCATACAGTGCTGGAGACTGCACCTGTGAGAACCTGATTTTGCAAACTCCATTTTAACGAAGGGGCTTCATCTTAAGCCACATAGTGGGCCGGGGGGGGGGGGTGGGACCACAGATCTCAGCTCCAGAAATATGCAGCAATAGCAGAAATTTGAAAAGACACCTTTAAAAATAGTCAATTAAGGAGCTAAGGAGCCGGGCCATAAAATTTAAGGAGGTTCAGATGCTCCTAAGAGGCATCCCGTCCTTGAAGATACCTTGTCAGTAATTTTGTTAGGTTTTCATGCCCAAAACCTGACCAATGATTTCAGAAACTACCTTACCCTATGCCCTCCTTACCCAGTCCCAAGACGACAGGACATGAACCCCCTGATTACAGCGTTTCCCTTGTAGAAGTTCTACCCTCCCAGGGCTCCCTGCCACACTTTCCGCACCCTCCCCCAATACTGGGGTGCTGGAAAGGTGTTGGTCCAAACCTGAGTTTGAATATTAAAAGCCCTCATGTAATTTGTATTGGAAATCTGGCTCCTTAAAATCATTTGGGGACAGGAACGTGGGCATAACAAACCCAGAGCCAAGTCCCCAGCTGTTTTATTCAATATATTCAGCAGCGGTGTTGTGGTTTGAATGTAAAATGTCCCCCACAGTCTCATGTCCCCAGCTGGTGGCACCGTTTGGAACCTTCAGGGGGTGGAGCTGTGCTGGAGGATAAGTCACTGGCGGTGGGCTCTGAGGTTTACTGAGCCTGGCCACACCATGGTTTCTGTTTTCTCTCTGAAAGGGGAATGGCCTGAAGCTCCTGCCGCCAAGCCTTCTCTGTCATGATGGACTGCACCCCTCGCGAACGGTGAGACAAAACAAACTTTTCCCACCTAAGTTGGTTATATCAGGTACTTTACCCAGTAACAGAAATGGAACCCATGGGTGGAGCACCACGTCCTCAGAGGGACCCCTTCTCATCCTCTGCTGCTCTGCCGTCCATGAGGACTGGCGTAGCTTCAGCTGCCGTGCAAGCATGACCCCTACATGGGGTAGAGCCGAGGGGCTCAGAGGTTCCAGCTGCAAGTGCCTAGATCAGCCTTTGGGCTTCCTCACATGTGAGGACCCAGGCCAGAGCAGCAGAACTGCCTATCCAATCACACCCGCGGTACTGGGCAGTAAGCATCGCCTTCTCCACGTGGCCATCGGTTAGTCCTCAATCGCACGGCGTCGGGCAGCCATCTTGTTGCCTAGACACCCAGCGAGGTGGGGGTGGGGATCAGACCTGCCGGTCTCCCACCCCCTGGAGTTAATCACTTCGGGCAGCTCCATGCAGGAATGAATGGGCTGGCAGCGCATCCTGTGCGCACTGGGAGGCCAGTCCTGTGCTGAGCTCTGCGGATCTGCCGTGACAGATGAGATCCACTCAGTTCACAGGCTAGTGGGAAAACACACACACACACACACACACACACACACACACACACACACACACACACACAACTGGCAAGGCGGATAGAGGTGAGGGGCAGGGACACAGGAAGGGCTCCCGAGGCAGCTAGGGATGTGCCAGGTAAGACTTCCTTCAGGAAGGGGGGGGGGGTGTGACCTGACGGACAAGTAGGCACGGGATGGATTCAGAAGGAGTCAGAGTCCCAGGCAGAGGGAACAGCAAATTCAAATGCCCAGAAAGACCAAAGCCAGATGTGAGGGCACCCATGTGGGGTCTCAACACTCAGAGGCAGAGGCAGGAAGGTCAAACGTTAGGTCCTAGTGTGGACTACATAGTGAGACCCCGACTCAAGGAAACATGGCGGGGAGTGAGAAAATGCTTGGACCCAGAGTGACAGCTTTGTCTGAAAGACAAATTGTCAGCACCCCCAAACCATCCCAATCAGAACCAGGAGAGGCCAGCCCTCTGTGGAGGATTTCAACCCCTGCTCAAGGCTGAAGAACAAGCGACAGCTGATGGGGGGGGTTAGACAGTGCGGAACAAGAAAAAATGCAGTCCAATTATTTATTTATTTATGTATTTTTAGTGTTTTTGAGACATGGTTTCTCTATGTAGCCCTGGCTGTCCTGGAACTTTCTCTGTAGAACAGGCTGGTCTCAAACTCAGAGATCCACCTGCCTCTGCCCCCCAAGCGCTGGGATTAAAGGTATGCGCCACCACCGTCCAGCAAATGCAGTCCATTTTTACTGAGAATATTCCAGTACTTTCCACAATCAACACCCCATTCTAGAGAGGCCACAGGGACAGGAATTTGGGCAGAACCTGCTGGGTTGATTAAAAAACGTCCTGGAGGCAACGAGGGGGGCGGAGCAGTTGATGTGTCCCATATCATCCAGTACACAAGGGGGGGGGGGTTCAGAGGACAACTTTTAGGAGTCTGGTCTCTCCTTCTACCACAGCGGGGAGGGTGCCCAGGATGGAACTCATGTCACCTCCTCAGCAAGCTCTCTGCCCACTGAGTCATGTCGCTGGCCCAACAGAGTGGTCTTTACTTTGTTCTGTATTATACTTTATCATGGCAGGGTCTCAAGCAGTCCAAGCTGCCTTGACCTCACTGCACAGCTTAGGATAACCACAAAAATCAGGATCCTCTTGCATCTGCTTCCCCAGACACATGCAGCCACCATGCTGGGTTTTATGGGGAGCTGGGTTCCAGGGTCTCACCCACATTAGACAAGCACTCTACCAAATGAACTATGTCCCCAGCCCCAGGGTAGATTTTATGGTATGTCGATTATATCTCAATAAAACTGTTATTAAAAGAAGAAGAACTGCCACCTCCTTCTTGGCAACCCTCGCCATGGGTGTCTGAGCTGGTGTCCCTCCTGGGATAAGAAAAGGCTCCTTTCAAAAGACCGAAGTTGGACCAGGCCACAAGAAGCCCTGAGATGGGCTGGAGAGATGGCTCAGCAGTTAAGAGCACTGGCTGCTCTTCCAGAGGACCCCGGTTCAATTCCCAACACCCACATGGCAGCTCACAACTAACTGTCTGTAACTCTGGTTCCAGGGAAATCTGACACCTTCACACCAAATGCACATAAAATAAAGTTAAATAAATATTAGAAAAGAAGAAGTCCCGAGTCTCTGTCCATCCTGGTTGCAGCACTCCTGAAAGGCTTTCAAACCAGAAAAGACTGCTGGTGTTTGTGTGTGTGTGTGTGTGGGGGGAGGGGTAGGCCAGTGTCTGTGAGGCAGAGAATCAGCTAACGCTAGACACTCTCAAATAGCAAGAAACACTTGAAAGTGATAATTTAGGAGTCACCACTGTTACAGCCCTGGCATCACACGCCTGCAATCCTGCTAAGGCAGGAATATCAAGTTCAAAACCAGCCTGAGCTATGAAAAGACCCTGACTCAAAAGGGAGGGTGTGGGGGCTGGAGAGATGGCTCAGCGGTTAAGGGCATTGCCTGCTCTTCCAAAGGTCCTGAGTTCAATTCCCGGCAACCACATGGTGGCTCACAACCATCTGTAATGAGGTCTGGTGCCCTCTTCTGACCCAAAGGCATACATGCAGACAGAATATTGTATACGTAATAAATAAATAAATAAAAAAGTGTGTGTGTGTGTGTGTGTGTGTGTGTGTGTGAGAGAGAGAGAGAGAGAGAGAGAGAATCATTTTCAAATTACTAGGCTACCAACCCAGGTTCTCACATGGTGACTTCCATCATGGAAAAGATGCACTGTAGAGTTATATCAGATCGTAGTCCTCAGCCAAGGAATAAGGGGCTGTTAGCCTGGAACAGCCTTCATGCAATTTTAACCTCAACACCAGAGCTCCTGTCTTCTCCAAGAAAGACAGTGGCCTGGCTGGTTTTCCCCTGGCTCTGCCCACTCCACTGCCTGTAACTCCTGAAGCTAAATATGGCCTTAGAAATCATCTAATCAGTGATGCGGCCGAAGCTGTTCAGCCTCAGAGAAGAGTCATCGACTGGTGATGTCTGTCACGGACAAGGAGAGGGAGGCTCCTGAAGACACATCAGTTCCCACACACGTGCTGGTCACACACATCCTCATTATCCTGTTGACGCTTTGGGCTCCACACGTGTCCACAGAGACGTAGGACAGTCACGGCTGGGAGCGCTCCAGGTCAGAAGGATTTACTTGGGTCTCACACTTTGGACAGAGTAAGATGTAGTATCAGCCATGCTGGTGAGGGACTCAGTGGATAAAGGTACTCAACACCAAACCTCATCCCAAAAACCCACACAGTGGAAGGCGAGAACTGCCCCCCCTCAAGTTGTTCTCCACTGATGCCATGACCTCCACACATGCCATGGAACACACATACCCCCCCACACACACACAGAAAAATAAAATGAAATAAAAAAACTAAAACTCAAAGTAATGAATGCTTGCACTGCTCAGCATCACTGGTTACCGCAGACGCTTTGTTGCGGGGCGGGGGGGGGCAACCTTAAATTCATATTATGTAACAAAGAACAGAGAGAGAGAGAGAGAGAGAGAGAGAGAGAGAGAGAGAAGCAAGACTCCGCTACCAGGCTATTCCTCCAGCCCCGTGCCCATCTTAATGCTATCCTCATTTACGCAGTCGGAGGCAGCCCAAACAACCCTCCAGGTGACAGGTGACAAGCTGAAGCACCAATGTCCTGTGTAGGTGAGAGTCAGAGGGAAGACACCTGTCCCACCTCTCAACTTGAAAAAGTAAAGACTGAAGCAGGCACAACCCCTGGGCGTCCCAGACACACAGGTAAAGCCAGCCTGAGGGTCTGGGCATAGCAATTATTGAGCAGAAAGTCGGGGGTGGTGGCACATGCCTAGAATCCTGGCACTGAGGACACTGGGGTGGGAGGAAGACAAATCTGAGACCAATCAGAACTATCCAGTGAGGCCACGACTCAAGCTTGATAAGGGGACGTAGCCGCGGAGGGAGGTCTCCAAGTGGGAAGAAGCGGCTGGTCACTCTGAGAGCAACTTCATCCCGGTATGAATGAACGAACCTTCAGGCTCCTTCCAGCTCCAGGACAGCAGATTGACAGTGACCCCGAATGCCCAGAAAAGCCATCAGGAACTGACCATAACTGGAGCTGGTGCTGAGGCTACCTAGAACATATGCATCACCCATAAAAAATGAAGACAGAAATAACAAAAGAAAAAGAAATCCATGACCATAAAGGACTGGGAATAAGACAGCAAGAGAAAGCGGAACCAATCTGGGGTCGTGTGTCCTAAACAACTGCCCGGTCCCAGGTGGGACAGAGTTGTGACACCTTCCGAGTTTTCCATACATACCAGAAACATAGGTTCCGGACCATGTCGCTGATTTTCTAAGACAATTAAAAGCAAATGTAAATAAGGACATCATAATTAGGAACTTCTGCCGCTTGCTGCTAGGGTGCTCAGGTATAATAGCTTACCTCTTACTACAAGGAGAGCAGGAGGATGGGGTGGACCCGGGACATGCACAAAAAATAGCATTTCCCAAGCATCTTGGGTAATTACCCACCCCTTGGCTTCGTTTGCCTGCCCCCCACATTCCCCGCCAAACATTTCTGCACACGGTTGACACGAATTCGCTGGCCAGTTAAAACTCAAACATCCTTTCCCAACCGTCTACATATTTTACTAAGCAATCCTCCCCGACCCGCGCTTTTGTTTTTTTGTTTTGTTTTGTGTTTTTGTTTTTGGCAACAGCACGGTGTAAATGAGGTATATTAGGAATTTTTGGTCAAGTCTGAAATGATTTAAAAAGAAAACAGAAAAAAGAAGAGAAGAGAAGAGGACGGCGCGGCTTGGAACGCACGGGTCCGCACAGGTAGATTCACTCCGGGAGGAGGGTGTGGGGAAACAACTCCACAAGTTACAGGTGTAAGCCCAGGTCAACCTGGGAGAGGCGGGGAGCCGGACACAAATGGAAGCTTACACAGGGGTGCGCCGGCGCCGCGGGCAAAACCAGGACGCCGAGATAGGAACGAAAGGGAAAAAAATAAATAAAACCACCACTTTCCCCTCCACGTGCCCCTCGGTGGGCCCTTCCGCACGCGATCGCGGAGCTTTCAGGTCCCCATGCTGGGGGTGGCGGGTCCCTTACCTGCGGAGCCCTGGCGGGCCAGAAGCGCCCCGAGGCACAGCAGGACGCATAGCCCGGCCATTGCGCCAGAGATCTACGGCCCGGGAAGCGCGGGGCTCTGGGTGCGCGGGGTTTTTAGGGCTCCCGGGCCCGCTGCAAGGGGCTCCCCAACTAGGATGCTGCGGCCGAGCCCGGGCGATCGCCTCTGGGGCACGCGCCCCGCCCCTGCGCCCAGCCCGCCCGGCGGAAAACAACAGGCGCGGGCCCCCTCCCGCCTCTCCGGCAACTTCCTCCACCTTGGCCGGGAGGAGGGCCTTGTGCGACGATCACAGTCCCTCGGGGCCTGGAAGGAGGCGGCCCCGAGCTCCGACCCTCCAGTGCGGGACGCGCTCCCGGCCTGTGAACTGCGCGCGGGCTGCGGGGCACCGGGCGCCGTCCCAGCCCTGCAGCTTTATCGCGCTTGTCATCTGGGTTCTCGGGTGCAGGGGCGGACCACAGCGCCGCCATCGCTCAGAGCCCAGGGAAAGACGATCCCTCGACCGTCCGGCCAAAAGCAACCACGAGACTCTGGTTCTCGAATGAACTTGGGTCGCGACCACACGGGAAGCGAGAGTTTTGTTTTCAGGTGCTCCCACGCATGTTCCTTTAGCTTTCCCCACCCTCCCATCCTGGCAGATCCCCGAAGCACATTTCCGGGATCAGCTTTCTGGCGTCCCATTTCTGTGATCTGGTGGACACTGCCACTGCTGGGCCCTCGGGAGGATATCTGCCCTTGAAACAGCTCTGGGAGAAGAAACTTCGTGTTCAAAACAAGGATGTAGTCAGCGCCGTGGAATCTTTGTTGTGGGCTCTGGGAGGTGGGCGTCCCTCAGCTTCCGCTCTTCCAGCCCTTACAAAAAAATATTGGGAGGGCTGAGGATGGCGCACAGTCGTGTAGCGCCAGCACCTTGCATCCCAGCACCCCAAAACCGAAGTAAAATATGGGGAAAAGCTAAATTTGAAATAAAAATCGCTGGTTCTGTTCTGAAAAGCTCCCCACCCCCACCCCATGGGGCTTCCTAGGGAGAACTGCCTTGGAATCTGTAAACAGAGGTGTTTATCCTATTGACCCCTACTTCCTGTTGTTATCCCCCAGGACCACACACCTAGCTGCTACCCCGTATGTATTAAATGAATGTGTATTGTTGGGCTCACCATGTCACTCAGCCTTCTATTTTGAGGCAATCCTCCTGCCTCAGCTTTCCAAGTGCTGAGATTACAAGGGTCCACCATGCCACTCCGTGCCTGGCTACGTTAATTGGTTTTGATGTTTCTTGGGTTCCACAGGCAAACTTCCTGGCCTGGAGTCAACAAGCTGTCTGTGGGTAGAAGCATTGCCCAGCAATGTTTTGGCTAAGAGTCTGGAATGTTCTGGAACCTTGATGGTGCCCAGGAAGAGGAATTTCAGAACTTGCTGATTCAACCACAAAGTTTCTACACAACCTTTGGACCTGAACTACCTTGCGGCCCCTTTCTACTCAGGGCAGTCTATTACATTCCTCCCTGGAGCTGCCCTCCAAGACAAGTTGATGGTTGGTAAAACCAGGACGAGATTTGACTTAGTTGCCCCCAGATCCTGTTCAGCCAAGTTCCAACGCTCTCACATCTTCCATGACACCTAAGGCCATGGGGATATAGGTCTGGCTACTTGGGCATCTTGGAGAGGAAACAGCCACCCCTTTGGATTAGGGTCAGGTATAATGTTGGGAAACACCTTGGCCTGACATGCCCTGCCAAGAAGACTCACTGGACACCTAAGGTTCCCCATGGGGAGTCAGGCAGGACAGAGGCAACAGTAAGAGACCCTCATGGGGCTATATAAGGACAAAGTGCCTTGACTTACCCCAAAGTAATCAAGCAACATTTTAATAGACAAAATTGAGCATTGTCATTGGAATCTCATATGAGCCAAGACCCTAAATCCCACAATCAAATATGGACGGTGGGGGTCTGGAAAGATGATCCAGCAGCCAAGAGTGCTTACTGCTCTTGCAGAGAACCTGCGTTTAGTTTCAGCACCACGTTAGGCTGCTCACAACTGCCAGTAACTCTAGCTCCAAGGAATCAGGAATCAGCCCCCTCTTCTGGTCTCCCAGGGCACCTTTGTGTCCATGTGTATACACAAGTAAAAAAAAAAAAATGAGATAAAAATAAAAAATGAGCAGGTACACCTCTGTCTAGGTTGCTACACATGTACACATGGCTGGTCTTGTCTGGTTTGGGTCCTCCTCACCACCACCTATCAATGAATTAAAAGGCAGGAAAAATCTTACAGGGTGAAGAAGCACATAGCAAGGTGTGGAGAGAGTCCCCAAAGGGCGGCAAGGTGTGGGGAGCGTCCCCACAGGGCAGAGAGAGGGCTCAGGGATACCGAAGTCCAACCCCTTGGGCCAGATGTGCAGTGTGATCCAGGATGTGTCCAGGTGAGCTGTCACCCACGCTGGGACAGGCTTTGGTGATGCAGGTGTCTTTGACTCATTTCCATTCTTGTAAGTAACCCTTCACCCATACTCCTGTGAGTAACCCCAATAAAACTCATTGGTTCACCAGATTGGACTTTGGTCTGTTGTGGGTTCACTGGGTTCCCTATCTGGGGTGAGTAGACCTTGTGTTGTAGCTCCCCAGGAAGTTTGTTACATGACACAAACAACCATAGCAGGCCCTGCTGGCAGGAAAAAAAGACTTCCAGGCTGTTGTCTCGGATACGAAGGCGAGAAAGAAACAGAAAGCTTCGGATCTTCACTGTCTATTGGGCAGAATTTCCCTGTCTGTCCGCCTGCCTGTTGGAGATATGTCTAGCTCCTAGTCACTCGATTGCATTTGGTTACCCAGAGAGGTGGACATCTCCACCCCCACTTTCCAGGCGATTCCAAGAGACCTCATTACAGAAGTAAATAGAAGGGTCACAATTTGAACCCAGGTCTCAGGCTGCTGCATCGTTTTTGATTGTTTCTTGAGGTGTTTGGGGATGGATGCCAGGGACTCCAGCATGCTGGGCAGGTGCTCTACCACTGAGCCATGCCCCTGGTCCTTGCTGCCATGGCGGGAGAGGGGGGTTGGAACTGACCGGGTTCTGGCTGCTTTGTGGAGATTGCATCAGCCATCTGGGTCATTGAAAACTCAGGCGAGCCGTTTTTGTGCCAATTATTTCTGCCCTACTCCTCCTGTCCCTAGAGGTGACTGAGAGATGGGTCATAGCAACAACCTAGAGGTATACCCTGGGGCTTTCCAGGAGCGGGCCATGGGAGAAGCCAGTGAGGACCAGCCTGGGGAGAAGCCTGTTGCTACAGCTGCCTGTAATCTGGAGAAACAGAAAGGCAAATATGCAGGAAAACATCCAAGAAGAGAGGCTGGTAGGGCTGGAGGAAAAACGGGGGTTTTCAGATGAGCTTGCCGGTCACAACCTGAACTCAGCCTCTCAGGACCAGAGACCGGGATGGTGAATTTCTGTGACTCTGAAACCCACGGGACTTGGAAGGAAGATCTACCCCTTAGACAGTGAAATTGCTACTCTCAGAGGAACAGGAAGATGGCCGGCTGGGTTCCCAGAGAAACAGCCCCGGGAAGCTGCTCAGAAGTGGGTGAACCAGCTACACCAACAGGTGAGAGCCGCCAAGCAGGTTGTGGGAGATAATAAACCACACGCATTCACTCTCCGGAGCCCCGCGGCTGAGAAGGTTCCTTTTTGTCTGGATGAGGTAACTCCAAGTAGCCCTTAAAAAGGGGACCTGTGGAAAGCTAGTCAGAGGACCAAGGGGTAACCTTGGTTCCTGTCTCCTGCACTTAAATAGATACTCAACTATTTGCATATATTTGTGGCCAAGACAGGGTTAGTTTGCTAAGAATTGGGACATGTAGCTTGTGTAGCTTGACCTGTCTTAATCTGTGGAGAAACTCAGACAGGAGCTCTGTGGGCTGGAGTTAGCTCAGTGTTGGAGCACTTGGCTAGCTGTCGTGAGCCCTACTGAGTGGGCCTTCTGGCCTTACTTAGAGGTCTGCAAGTAATGACACTCAGGGTAGCAGTTCTCTGCTTTGTCCGAACTACATTTATTGTATAGGCACTTCAAGGTCTTACAGTTGTTCTGTCACAGCCAATAAGCAAGTATCACAGGCAAGGATATAATATCACACAAGCAATATCACACAAGCACATATATAATTCTAAATCCTAGGCAAGCATTACTATATTCTATCTAATAAGGCATTGGGGTGCACAACCTGATGATGGTTCGTGGCTCTCGACGTAGACCTCTGGATCAGCCAGTCTTGATCCGCAGGCAAGAGCTGGTTCTCTGGCTATTGGAAGATCTCTGGTCCAAATGTCTCATTGATTGATTCTCGATGCTGTAGAGTTTCTCTGGCGCCTCTCCGACAGAGTCTCTAGCAGATCATCTTGAGAATGCCTCCTGGTCTTTTTGCCTCAGTTCATATACTATTCTTCAGCCTTACCTCCCTCTTTTCTACGTCACACTCCACATTAACACTCCTGTCTGCCTATACGTCACTCTTACCATCACTGCACACATTTTCTGCTAGTGCCGTTTCTCCTGGACTTGCCCCAGACTTGTCTTTACAGACCCATCTAGGTTTTGTCCTTACAGACTCATAACACTAGCCTTGGCTAATAGCCTCTGGTCATTGGGAATTAAGTCAGGTTGAACTGAGAAATAGCCCCTAACTATCAGGGGTTCCTTGGCTCCAGTCAGATTATTCAGCTCCACCTGCAGAAACCATATACCCTGTATGGAAAATGACCCACGCTGCTCCCAGTCAAACCACAGAAAAAAAGAGTTGTAACTCCCTGATAGTTACCTATGTATACGTAGTAGCCTGCCCGCAGTCCCACCAAATGCACTCAGCCTTCATCCCTGGGAGAGGTTGGGGCCCCTAGTTGTCCCAGTAACGCCTTCTGTGCTTGCTGAGTTCCAATCTGTCTGCCTCTCTGCCTCGTTCTCTTACATCTGTTGCAGAAACCTGAGATCGTTTTAGGGTCCTCCTTCCCTGGGGACATTCCTCTGGGGACATGGATGCTATGCCCAGATCTGCAAAGTCCCCAAAAAACCAACAAGGAGACCGAGTCCCGTATGTAAAAGTAAAGAGTCTTTATTTTATGCAAGTTTGCAAACTCAGTCTCTCCGCATGTCCAACATATTTGAATAAAGGGAGAGCCCGGAGCTCAGTTAGAGTTGGGTTTTTA